GTGTGAAACAAACGCCCATGCCAACCACTCCTTTACCCCTTCACACTTCTATGGAATCTACTAAAAAACTTAGTAACACCTTCCCAACCTCAAAAAAAGCTTTACGTATGAATTACATGTATAACGGCAGAAATTAGACTTTGATTGTTTTTAAAAAGAAAAATCCACATTATTTCCCCATCACCGCTGGCACGAGCCTTAGTTAACTGTGTGCAAGGATACGGCCTGGTTGCACTGGCATTCGGTTGACGATGCCAAAGGACAACGGTGTCTTGAAGAACACCTGTGTCGCTTTAATGATGTGCTGGCCAAAGACGTACGTTCTCATGTCGTCTGAAGATCCAGCTTGTTCAATGCCAGCCATGGAACAGTGCAACAGGCACAGACGTCTCAACTCTCCCCGTACGTCTCAGTGTTCCCTTTTTTCCTGCGGATCAATGCACACGTGTTTTGAAGAAGTAAAACAAGACACTAAATAGACACACCCGACTCCAAATTGAAACCGACAATACTACTCACAAAATGCAACTCTGATGAAAGACTGCCATATATATATCCTATATTGGAAGTTTTTCGCCCTTCACTCACCTATAGATCTTAATAACACTGTTACACTCTGTGGCCTGAGGGCTTGTCAAAAAGTTCACAAGCTTACTCGGGTGGGACCTGAGATGAGAGTACACTGTGTAGCTGCCTAGTGCCAAGACTGGTGTGTAACAACCAGCATAGGCTGTGTCTGAAACGGGCTTCCAGAGCTACGGCTAGGTCTATTGTCTACGCATCTCCGCACATTTCCAATGGAGGGAAGACCTAGACCTAGCTCTAGACAACAGATTGGGATGCAGCCATAATCAGCAATGTAGCACAATGAGCCGATTCGGTATTCCAACCGTGCATGCCCAGTACGAGGCTATTCGGAAAAAGTTTATGCGTATGCACAATAGTCTGTCCTAGCTGCGAAACCATTCGCTGACCCATGCGCACGCTTTGTTCCTGAAAGACCTTGGCTTATTGAAATACCGAACAGGCTCATTCACTTGTGCCACTTGTTGCAGTCATCTGGGTTGTCATTTCAGCCATCTCGGAAGAGGAAAGGCAGCGGAACGAATGCTGCATGGGTGAATCACAATTTTCAAGTGCAATAAAAACCAAACAGATCTTGACTGAGTTTATTACCCGTCAAACGATAGAGAATGAATCGGTGTTGAAATGACCAACGACAAACCAAACTTTCACAGACAGAAACAGATTAAAAATAGCACACATTGATGAATTAATGACCAGATGGGGCGAGTGAACCGTATAAGAAAATGGGGCTCATTCATCGGACGTGTATGCGTGAATGCAATGAATGTCGGATATTTTCATGGGTGCACGTCATCGTCGTGCGGGATGGGGATTGGACGAGCAGTGGTGAGCGCATGCTTTTGATCGCAAGCATCGTATGCATGTCAGTTCATCATTCATCAACTTTCATTGGCAATGTCATGCTCTGGGGACCTACGTAATAACACTGTTTGGTTCCCAGACCAAACAGATCCCGACTGTGTTTGGCATCGGTCAACGATCTGGAGTTAGTCACTGTAGTAAACAAATGGCTCAAATTGAAACCAAAATTTCACGAACTTTTACAAATTTGAAATCGGCCAAAGTAATACATCGATGGTTTGATGGGGTGAGTGATCCATGCACGCAAATGGGACTTCATAGAAGACATTTTTGCTGAGTCCCAAATTTTTGAATGAACCGCTGTGGAGCCTTGGATACGGAGGGAGTCTACATGGTCCAGTAGACTGGCCCCCAGTCTGGGGCTAGGCCGTAGCTTAACTTCACACCGGTTGGCATCAATGGTTTGGTAGGCACAGTACTACTACCGATGGCCGAAGTTGCCCAAATGTAAGAAAAGTTGCTTTATGTCCCACTAGGCCTACAACAATTTCAGCGCCATGATTCAACACACAGGCCCAGATAAAAATCACCATAAAGCTGTGCCCTTGCACTCATTATACTCACTGAAACGTTCCTTTTTTATCGTACGCCCCGAATCGCGTCGATCGTCTTTGCTATGCTCTTCCTCACGTAGAAGGATCCGAAGAAAAAGTAGTCTTCTACCGCAAGAGGCCGCTGTGGGATACAAAATCAGACTTGCATACGTCCTTCAAGATGTCAGAGAATATGAAAGGGCTGCGTAGCACCGTGATAGGAATGTTCACAGAACTGAATCTGCTTGCCCTGACAAAGGTAGCCAGTTACCAAAGGCTCAGCAATAAGATAAATCAGAGCACTAATTGAATTATATTTTTGTCAACATTCCTTCAAGATGTCACTATCCACTACGATCGGAACAAAAGAGGGCGTTTTGGGTTTTTTCTTACTAACCGCATATAGGGTTGCACTATACGAAGTACGTGCCCATCGAAACCACTGCAAAATCAGACCAAACAGCTCTCGGGAAGAGGTTGGCCTCCGTTTTTTCACTGGAAATACAAGATAGATCACTTTTCGTTTCAATTTATGGGGGTTAGCCACGAAAATTGTTTTTTATTCGCGTTTCCCCGAAGATACCCCAAACAGTAGTAAAACTGTGCGCCCAGTACTAAATGTAGCCGCCCGCGTCTATCCAAAATAGGCCCCCCAATTTGGGGCTTTTTGTGAAAGAAATACCCCGAACTGGAAACTATCAGTCCCAAATTCGAGATTCATAGAAATATTTCTATGATCCCTCCTGATTATGGCATGCCTTATTGTAAAAACCCCGTGGGATCACAAAATAATGAGCTCGCGCGCAGAAATGCGACCATTTGGTGGAATGCACTAGGGGCGCCATGAGGCGCGCAAGTATATGCGCGTTTGACCTGGAGCATTGCCAGATCAATGGCTGAGTTCGGGCGGCTTGTTCTCGTATGTTCACGAACAGCTCGATTTGTTGTTCGTGGGTCAGCCGCTCGAACGCCGGGAACAAACAACCAATTAGCTAGTTAGTGACAAGCAACATGTGTAACATGGCGGCGTCCATGTAGGCTACGTTATTAGCGAGTTAATGTTTGGATGGGCTGAATTCTTTTCATTCATTTCTGTGTTACGGAAAATAATCAATGTTAGTTTTGCAAAACTTCCAATTGTTTATGGCTTTGGAAGCCATCTCTCTACTTTTTGCAGCTGTTCAAAAATCAAAATCTCACGAGTTTTTTCATGTGTTCCTGTAAAACCTTGACGAGGAGGTGGTGTGTGATCCTGTTCCGAGAACAGTGTTCTTGAGTCGTGTTCCCGCCGTTCGAGGGCCAGAACAAGAAACCCGTGTCAAGAACAGGCCGCCCGAACTCGACCAAAGGTTTGCGTACATGCAGAACGCGTGCAAGAACCCGCTTGTAACCACCTGTCTTTATTTCGCCGTTTGGAGGTGCACTTCAGCTCAGGGCAGATAATCCTGCTTTATCTTCGATTTCTTAATAAAAAAAATTGTAGTTTGTGATGTAAACGTACAAAATCGTACAGACACTTTTCTAGGTGTTCCCATAAAAGAGGGCAACAAATGCTAATATTAACGATTTGAAAAAGATGAAATTTTGTCCCGACTCTTTACAGAAGGGGGTGATTACGTAAATCAAAACATTATCCAGCCGTTGAAATGAAGGGGGCGGGGTTGCTGACACCATGTGATACCAGGGGGCGCTGTTCATTATACAAATGAGCATTACATTATCTGTGATGTATTTTAATAAGCAACTTTCGAGTTAAATTTGAATAGAATCTGGTACACTGTGTTATCTGATTATATAGAAACGTAACAATTTGAATTCCCCTGCAGACTAAAGACACTGTTGCTATACCTCGTGATTCGGGGCAACCTTTTGCATAGCGACCACCATCCCTGGAATGGACTAGTTCCTTTGTGCCGTTCTTATCCATTGAGAAGAGTGTACCGTTGCAAGGCATCTCTTATGTAACTAAGCAAAAGCTTGCCCCGGTTTACGAGGTATAGCAACAGTGGTTTTGGTACGGAGAATTCAAGTTGTTACGTTCACGTGAATTTAAAAGAGCTTAGTGTACCAGATTTTATTCAAATTCAACTCGCAACGGCTTATTTTTCCCCACTTGTCTCCCCTTTTCATTAATATTGGTTTCCGGAAAGTCCGACAAATTCTACAAAATCTGCATTACTGTATTTTAAAAAAGCAAATCAAGTGTGTGTGTGTGTGGGGGGGGGTTCAGTAAACCCATCTCTCGGTCAGAAAGTGGAGGGATGTGTACCCCAGTAGGCCTATATTTAATCCTCTATACGGCTAGGGGTTTCAACTTCCCTAGATTTCGGGGGAGAGTTGGGGGGCGGCACTGACTCGATCTGATGGCTCTGAGATTTATGTCAGTTCTAACAAGCCAACATTTTAAAACTTCAAAAGACTGATCCCAAAAATGCAATGGCGTAACAACCTCTCCCTTTTCCCCCTTAATTTCACACTCAGGTGCATAATTGTTTTTCACTAGCTTTTCCTGTATATTTCACCAACAGAAATTTATGACCATTTTGATCCTTAATAAAAACCCGCCTTTTCTTCTTTCTCTTCTGGGAATATTATTCCCCTTGACACGGGAGCCAAGCATGGAGGATTAATTGATTTTACATACCGGTACGCCCAAGGGGTTAAAGGTTAATGTGCTTCAAAAAGTGAGCGGAGGTATTCGAGGGGAGATTCAATAAAAATGGATGGGGGGGGGTCGGACAAGGTTACAAGTACTATGGGAATTCATAACCCTTTTTGGCCTGTGGAAGGAACACTGTTCTTAGTGAAACACTTACGTAAACACTATCTCACTCAGTTTGTATTTATTGCTCACATTTATTGCTACAAGTCTGAAGTACTGAAAGGCATATCCTGAACCAAGTTGTTGGTCGTAGGTGTCCAAAAAGTAGATGTATTTATGTGCAACTTTGTTCGAGTTAAGACTGGGTGTTTTTTATATGCTTTTGGACGGGAAATGCAAGAGAGCCTCCCAAATCCTATCATTAATTTAAAAGAAAAAGATGTCGAGGTAGCCCCGTTAGCTCCTACCCCGATTGGCCCTGAATGTATGATGGATAGTGTTGAGCATTGAAGTGTGAGAGCTGGGCGTTTAATGTTTATAGCGGCATAATTTGTGCGGGAAAACTGGGGGATTGTTGAGGAATAGAGGTAATGCGTGATGGCGTCTCCGTGGTGTCTCGGAGGTTGTTTTTATTATTTCAATTTAGTTACAACTATACAAAAGGTTTACTCGAGTCTGTCCCAGTGACGCCAAACTCTTGCCCTCTCAACTTCCGTAACTTGCCCGGCCATTATGAAAGACGGGGGGGGGAGGTTGCTTACATCATGTGACGAGACATGTGACGTGTTCAGATGTGCACCCCTGGAAAACTTCACATCAAAGCGGTTTGTTTATAGCTTTTTAAACGTCGTTTTCCTTTCTGAGTGGTACTGAAAAAACAATTTGGTCTGGATGCAAATTCTTCGCAATTCACCCGTTTATTCTTACCACGAAAAAGTGGGAGATGATTAGCAGCCATGATCTCCAGGGATTTACTCCCATGAATAACGAGTTTCAAAGTAACAGCAAGGTGGTTTTAAATTGCTAAACGAAGCGTTTAGAATAAAGGACAGTCCGAAGAAACACTTGGGTTTTTCTTGAGAGCCACTCTATCACGTGAGCTTGCCCTCTCGCCCCAACCCTCATCAGATCTACCCATGCAACCATTATGGATGACTGAAAAATGCTTCCATGATAACACGTGACGAAAGCCAATAGTCTATTCACGGGGAAGCTGTGTTTGATCATGTTCCCTGAATCTTATTCACTGTACTCTGTTAAATGGGATGGTGCCAGACTGTTTTGGGTTTCATTCATCACTAGCATTGTTTAATATGGCTTGTATCATTTCAGTTTTATTCTCGGGTTCCCCAAATAAAGTTTTCCTCGCTTTCAATACAATATGGCCGACTTGTGAAAAAGACCAATAACTGCGTCAGGTTGAGTGAAACTTCAACATCTGTTGGAACCCCTTCTCCAGATACAAATGTGCGATGGAATTAAATGAGACCTTCCCAACGTGAGGTCGTATACTCCACTAAGATAAAATAGTATTGTCTAAATTGATTTTAAATGTTTTCACAACTTATACTCCATAAATACGCCGCTATCACAGTCACTTCGTTTGAAATTGATCACTTTTTAATGTTACAAACACACAACCACAGACAGGAACACAGAGAAACAGGAAGCTCACTCACCATTCCACTTTTTATCTCTAATTCTTATTTTATTTAAATTCTGATATCTTTCTTTGTCTTGGAAATCAAGACATTGTTGATGTACTTTAACATTTCAATACAAATCTAACGTTTTGTGAAATTTGTGGAGCAAAGATCCAACTTTGGTCGTGTTTCGGCCAGCGCCTTTTAGTAATTTTGGGCCCTTGTTTTCAATTAGGAGATACATTCTCAGATTATACCAAGTTCCAATTGAAACATACTTTGTCGCTATTCTCACAAGATAGACTATAACACCCGTACAGGAAAGTAAACAACACTAGAGACGGACAATTCCAAATCAATCCTTTCCAAAACTTGCATTTAGCCATTGTTCAAGATATTGAAGGATCTATATCAACGCTGGTTTCGTTGAAGTATTCAAGGCAGTCAGAACGTTAACAAGTTACCAGTGATCCTTAATTATATATAAATCAATTTTGGAACAGAATACTTATCAAAGTAAACAATTTGAAATAATCTCCAAGAAGATATTACAAGGTATTAACACTGTAAACAGTCCATCATGGCTTTTTGTGACGTTAATAAGAGAAACACTGTAATTTGAATAAACCAAATTCATTAATTAACCAATACGGCTCTGTGGCATCAATATATTTGTTTACACAACAATATTTGTTTACACAATAATGAAGCCCATGAAGGAACTGGATGGACCTTTATTTACTTTGTCATTTCACTTGTAACAAGTACTAATCCATTCCAAGAATAAAATTAGTCCGCTCGGATTACTACTTCGTTCACACAAATAACATCATTCGTTCGTATAATTACTGGTGTAATTCGCTGGAACGAATATTAATTGTGCAAACGAATGACTTAACTAATTCGCTCCAACAATTCAGTTATTCGTACAAATAACTGGCGTGGTTGTTGCTAACGAATAAGTATTTCGTGCAAAAAATCAGTAATTCTAGAAAACGAGTTAGTAATTTATGGGAATAAATTACTAACGCTTTATGAATTACTGAAGTAATTTGTGCATGCAAATGAGTAATTCGTAACAAAGAATTACTCATTTGTGTATAACAATTATTGGAACAAATTAATTCGTTCAATGAATTAACAATTCTTGTGAACGAATTAATAATTCGTTGGAACAAATTGTGAAAAGAAATTACCGGAGTAATTCGTGCGAAGAAATTAGTAAATTGTGGGAACAAATTAGTAATTCGTAGAAAAGAATTACTGATTTGTGTAAATTATGTGCTGGAGTAATTTATACAAATAAATTACTGGAGTGATTCGTTGAACAAATTAATAATTTGTGGGAACAAATTACTAATTCGTAAACAAATTACTTAAGATATTCGTGTGAACAAATGATACATTTGTGCAAACGAATTAGTCTTAACAGGGACAAATTACTAATTTCTGCGCTTGGATTACTGGAGTAATTTGTGACTGAATTAGTAATTTGTGGAGGAAAACAAATTACTAGAGTCATTCAAGCAAACTAATTAGTAATTCATAAGAACGAATTACTAATCTTTACAAACGGATCACTGGAGTCTGCGAACAAATTAGTAATTCATAGGAATGAATTACCAATTTGTGCAATTTACTGGAGTAATTCAAGCGAACGAATTTGCAATTTAGTGGGAATGCAATAATATTTCGAAACAGCAGTTAGAATGAATTGTTCCATCCAGTCTCTACCTGGGCGTCTTACGTGGGCTTATGACATAAGTGTTTTAACAGGAAATAGTTTCAGATTTTTTTCATAAGCATGATTTTTTCCAAAACCTAACAACAACAGTAGATACAGCTTTTCCGAACGTTTACACACACTTGGACTCAAAGTTCAATGATATTTAAACACTCTTTTGGGCAACCTCTTTTTGATATCATGATTGCTATCAGCTTTTAATAAGCTTGGATTGGTTTATCGGTATTAACGGGAAAGAATTGTTGCCATAAATATTGACAAGTTGAATTCTCAATTCAACCAATTAATCAAAATGTGCGTAAATGTTTGACCAACGAACCAACTTTCTTATTTTAAAAGATTGAAACTAAGGACAAGACAAGTCAGAGTGGAAAAAAATTGAATTTTGGTGAAAATAGTTTTTAAAAGAGCCACTATGCCACTCCTTGGAGGGCCACGAGTGCAATCTTAATCTATCGGAGGGAAGACATTCCTCTCGACTCTGTCTTGTCCTTAGTTTCAATGAGAGTGAGTGTTCACAAAAATACAGTGAACATTCATTCTTTGGAATGTTAAGTGAACGTGTAGCAAGCAGAGTAGGACAAGTTGGAGCAGCTCCATGTCTTGTTCGACGATCAGCCGCTGGTGTCTTCGGGTCGAGGCGGTCCTCAAGAACCTGTGCAAATGACAAAGTTGGACAAAATTTAAGTTTATCGTCCAAAAGGACCAAACAAAACAGCGTTTTAAGCCAAAAAAAGCCGACAGTGATGTAGTTATTTTGATAGCGCCCGATAAGGTGAAGTGTTTCATACCATACCAATGTCGCTTTTTGGGACATGATGCCATTTTGTTTTGTTGCCTGGTGGCACCCGGGGGAGGGCTTAGGGATTGAGCCCCAAAGAGGTTTTCTCTTTTTACTTAAATAAAAACACAGTGTGCACACCTACGCCTTTACCTACACCTACGTATAGCTTTGATATAGCCATACATCCCTGTCCTTTCTATGACAATGGGGGCTTGAACATCATGAGCTATTACAACAACTCCTGGGTGTGTCACTGAGAATGCTACAACCTGCGAGGACAGACAGGTAAGATGTCGTGTAGAGTGCGTCCTGCCGACAGTTGTGCGCTGTATGGTGGGCAGTCTGAAGGAGGACTCCGCTCCTACTCCATTGATCTACTTCCCGCTGGAGGTAAACCATCTCAAAGCCGTCATGTCTTCTCAAGTTCCGACTTGAAAAACCTACCCTCAGAAGTCCAAATGACATGCAAATCAAGCAGGGTGTGACAGTCGCCATCCAGTTCTTTCTGGTTTGCAATCGCTCGTCGTCTTCCAAGAGGTCCGTCTTGAGAGCTGTCCATCTACCGTAAGCGAGANCTTGCTGATATGGAAAACCACCTCGAAGCTGACCGCAAAGAGCTGCATTTTGGAAAACGGGAAAAACAGAGGAAAGTGAGCAAAATGAACATTTTCCAGTGTTGTGATTTTGGAGACTTACCACCAAAGTTCCAGAGGGAGGGCAAATCCAACGGGGGAAGTCATCATCCAGCTCTCAATTGCTCTAATCGGTCATCGCCATTCCAGAAACCCATCTTGAAGACGATCTCTCTTCCCTCTGCGAGACACATAGAGGCCTTATACGGTAGGTCTGACTGTTGAAATGAAAAAAGAAACGCTTGTCACAGCTGGCTGGAGTTAGTATATATAACTCTAATTCATTACCAGAACAAAGTCTGCCACATTACCTTTAGGTCAGGTCCTAACAATTCATATAAGCCTGACTGATTTCTGCTTTTTTTCTAGTACGCCTTGCTACCTTCGTTCAATAGTAAACCACACCAAGCCTAGCCACAATCGTAGGTTCAATACTGTGATAAAATAAAGGATTCCCTCCTGGTTATCTTCTTAGATGGACCAGGAAGAGGTCGAATTCAAAACTTTCAGGCAGCAATACATTCTGCCTCCCATTCTGGACTCCGCTCCTAGTCCATTGATCTACTTCCCGCTGGAGGTAAACCATCTCAAAGCCGTCATATCTTCTCAAGTTCCGACTTGAAAAACTTACCCTCAGAGGTCCAAATGACATGCAAATCAAGCAGGGTGTGACAGTCGCCATCCAGTTCTTTCTGGTTTGCAATCGCTCATCGTCTTCCAAGAGGTCCGTCTTGAGAGCTGTCCATCTACCGTAAGCGAGACATGTACATGTAGGTGGAAAAGTAGTTCTAGCCTGGTACAGTAGCCTGGTTGTTAAAACTTTAACCATAACCCCCACAGGGTGTACGTAAAATTATATTGAAATCGGAGGATTCGGGACTGTTAGGGTTTTAAAAAAAAAGGAAAAGCAAAACAAAAACTAGCCCCCCACCCGGCAAAACAAAATCCCTGGTTTACCGCACACTGTAAAATTTTTGGACATAATATTATCCAGATGTTGGTCAATTTAATATAACTTTTTTTTTACATTTCCCAAAAGATTTACCCGACAGTTGGACACCTTTGGGAAGTTGATATCACACCAATTTAGGGCAAAAGTTGTTCAGAAAATGACAAACACTTTTTCAGTGCACAAAAGCTCATTACATCAAGTTTACGAAGGAAACGTTTTCAGCAATTTTGTCTCACTATAGTATGGACTTATTTCTACACCCAGTGAAAAAAAGGGAGATACGATTTTGGTCGAACGTTTACATACATTTTTAAAATACTTCTTAATGCCTACTTGATGGGTCTGGAGGAAAAAACTGGTGGAGGGCGCATTCAGGCCGACATCCATGGGTTGTGGTGTTCAGCAAGACGAATTCTGCTCCTATTGTCCACTAACCCAGGTTTTGCTGGTGTGGAAAACCACCTCGAAGCTGCCCGCAAAGAGCTGCATTTTGCAAAACGGGAAAAACAGAGGAAAGTGAGCAAAATGAACATTTTTCAGTATTGTGATTTTGGAGACTTACCACCAAAGTTTCAGACGGAGGGCAAATCCAACGGGGGAAGTCAGCATCCAGCTCTCAATTGCTCTAATCGGTCATCGCCATTCCAGAAACCCATCTTGAAGACGATCTCACTTCCCTCTGCGAGACACGTTGGGCCTTATACGGTAGGTCTGACTGTTGAAATGAAAAAGAAACGTTTGCCACAGCTGGCTGGAGTTAGTATATATAACTCTAATTCATTACCAGAACAAAGTCTGCCACATTACCTTTAGGTCAGGTCCTAACAATTCATATAAGCCTGACTGATTTCTGGTTTTTTTTCTAGTACGCCTTGCTACCTTCGTTTAAAATAGTAAATCACACTACGCCTAACCACACTAAGCCTAGCCACAATCGTAGGTTGAATACTGTGATAAAATATAGGATTCCCTCCTGGTTATCTTCTTAGATGGACCAGGAAGGTCGAATTCAAAGCTTTCAGGCAGCAATACATTCTGCCTCCCAAGAGCTGCGCTTNTTTGCTGATGTGGAAAACCACCTCGAAGCTGACCGCAAAGAGCTGCATTTTGGAAAACGGGAAAAACAGAAAACGGAGCAAAATGAACATTTTCCAGTGTTGTGATTTTGTAGACTTACCACCAAATTTCCAGAGGGAGGGCAAATCAAACGGGGAAACTCAGCATCCAGCTCTCAGAAACCCATCTTGAAGACGATCTCTCTTCCCTCTGCGAGACACATAGGGGCCTTATACGGTAGGTCTCACTGTTGAGATGAAAAAAAGAAACGCTTATCACACCTGGCTGGAGTTAGTATATATAACTCTAATTCATTACCAGAACAAAGTCTGCCACATCACTCTAGGTCAGGTCCTAACAATTCATATAAGCCTGACTGATTTCTGCTTTTTTTCTAGTACGCCTTGCTACCTTCGTTTAATAGTAAGCCACACTAAGCCTAGCCACAATCGCAGGTTGAATACTACGATAAAAAATAGGATTCCCTCCTGGTTATCTTCTTAGATGGACCAGGAAGAGGTCGAATACAAAACTTTCAGGCAGCAATACATTCTGCCTCCCATTCTAGACTCCGCTCCTAGTCCATTGATCCACTTCCCGCTGGAAGTAAACCATCTCAAAGCCGTCATGTCTTCTCAAGTTCTGACTTGTAAAACTTACCCTCAGAAGTCCAAATGACATGCAAATCAAGCAGGGTGTGACAGTCGCCATCCAGTTCTTTCTGGTTTGCAATCGCTCGTCGTCTTCCAAGAGGTCCGTCTTGAGAGCTGTCCATCTGCCGTAAGCGAGACATGTAGGTGGAAAAGTAGTTCTAGCCTGGTACAGTAGCCTGGTTGGCAAAACTTTAACCATAACCCCCACAGGGCGTATGTAAAATTATACTGAAATCGGAGGATTTGGGACTGTTAGGGTTTTTTTTTTTAAAAAGAAAAGCAAAACAAAAACACAAACTAGCCCTCAACAGGCAAAATAAAATCCCTGGTTTAACACACACTGTAAAATCTTTGGACAGAATTTAATCATCCAGATGTTAGTCAATTTAATATAACTTTTTTTACATTTCCCAAAAGATTTACCCAACAGTTGGACACCTTTGGGAAGTTGATATCACACCAAGAAAACGACAAACACTTTTTCAGTGCACAAAAGCTCATTACATCAAGTTTACGAAGGAAACATTTTCATCAATTTTGTCTCACTATAGTATGGACTTGTTTCTACACCCAGTGAAAAAAGGGAGATACGATTTTGATCGAACGTTTACACACATTTTTAAAATACATCTTGATCCCTACTTGATGGGTCTGGAGGTAAAAACTGGTGAAGGGTGCATCAGGCCGACTTCCGTGGGTTGTGGTGTTCAGCAAGACGAATTCTGCTCCTATAGTCCACTAACCCAGGTTTTGCTGATGTGGAAAACCACCTCGATGCTGCCCGCAAAGCTCTGCATTTTGGAAAACGGGAAAAACAGAGGAAAGTGAGCAAAATGAACATTTTCCAGTGTTGTGATTTTGGAGACTTACCACCAAAGTTCCAGAAGGAGGGCAAATCAAACGGGGAAACTCAGCATCCAGCTCTCAATTGCTCTAATCGGTTATCGCCATTCCAGAAACCCATCTTGAAGACGATCTCTCTTCCCTCTGCGAGACACATAGGGACCTTATACGGTAGGTCTCACTGTTGAGATGAAAAAAAGAAACGCTTATCACACCTGGCTGGAGTTAGTATATATAACTCTAATTCATTATCAGAACAAAGTCTGCCACATTACTTTTAGGTCAGGCCCTAACAATTCATATAAGCCTTACTGATTTCTTTTTTTTTTCTAGTACGCCTAGCTACCTTCGTTTAAAATAGTAAATCACACTAAGCCTAACCACAATAAGCCTAGCCACAATCGTTGGTGTAATACTATGATAAAATATAGGATTCCCTCCTGGTTATCTTCTTAGATGGACCAGGAAGAGGTCGAATTCAAAGCTTTCAGGCAGCAATACATTCTGCCTCCCAAGAGCTGCGCTGNGCGCTGTGATGTTTAATAATGCGGCACCGCAGGTGTTGATGGCGCCCTCAACATCAATCCACAACACGGGACAATTATGACCAAGACAACATTCAGATGTGGCCGACCGGTGTAGGCATCAGTGATCAAGGGACTGTTGGTAAGGCCATTCGCACTGTCGGGGACACGGTCTTTATGCGGCAGATTTACATGGGAAACAACCTTGTACGTTTTGATGACAAAATATGTCATGCGTCAATTGACTGGTCGTAAACTCACAGTCACCAAAGCGTAACTTTGCTGCAAGAAATGTTTTTGCCGATCTTTGCAGGTCGGAATTACGTTCAGGGCTTTTATAAAGCAGATTTACATGGGATACAATCTTACACGTAAAACCAATTTAAAATCCACAAGAATATCGATGAAAAATGTCCTAGTTAATCGACTGATCGCAAAGTGACAAAAGCGTTACTTCACAGGAAAAATTAAAACGCTAATCTGTCGATCTTTGCAGGTCGGAATTACGTTCAGAACTGCTTTATAGCTTTTACGTGGGAAACAACCTCATACATGTACGTGACAAATTATAATCTGGAAGAATATTAGATTAAAAATGCCATGCGTCAATCAACTAATCGCGAACTCCCGCTAGGTAAAGCCGGTACTTTGCCCTAAACAAATAATAAAAATCGATTTGCCGATCTTTGCAGGTTCGGTCGGGCTTAGATTCAGGATGTTAATACGGCAGTTTTACATTTTATGTAGATTATAAATTTTACAATTTTATAATGTACACAAATATTCGACGGTGATCTACTGATTGTAAATTCACAGTAACTTTGAAGTTTACTTTGCTGAAAAAAATTATAAACAGCAAGTTGGACTTGTGTTCAGGCCTTTTATAAAGCACTTTTACACGGGACAAAACCTTACACATGACAACAGAAATCGACAATATCTGATGACAAATGCCATGCGTTAATCGACTGATCGTAAACTCACTGTGGCTGAAGCGTTCGGGAAAAACAACCAAACCAAACAAAAAGCAACTTAAGTTTGCCGAATCTGTGCATTTCTTTCATGGATACATGTATATCTTTATTGATTTGGCGGTTTTGCAACGATATCGGAGCGTTGTGCGACCGTTCCAGTGGATTTTTCAGGAGGCAAACTCTCGAGATTTTATGGAAAATAAATTGTTTGTTTGAAGATGACGCATTTGGGGAATCGTTTCGTACGTTTCGTAAATTTTGTTCAATAAAGCGTACCGCAATTGCGTTACCGATGACGAGTACGAAATCTGTTTCCGTTTAATTTTTTTGTAATACATTAATGAATGGCAAAGTTTGTGATTTTGCCAAGACCACGTGGTGTGTGTAATCGTTGTATTGAAAGCGACCGGGTGGAAACAGCGCCGTCAACCCAGCCATTTCACTTGAAGATAAAACGTCTAGACACCTCTCGGCCTATCGAGGACGACGCAATTCAGTCGCTCAGTTGTATTTGTTTTGGAGGATGGAGATCATTTTTTATCTTTATTTGCCACTCGTTTTGTTTAAAGTTAAAGTGACCAAGCTTCACCCTTCAACCCAGTCACTTCAAGTTGACAGCCATCATCGTTAAGCGCAAATGGCGGGATTCAATTTCCGCATCAAGTTACTGTTTGTTTCGAAGACTTTCCGGCGAAATGGTGGAATCGACTTGCAATTTTCGAAGACGTCTTGCCAAACTAACGGAAGTTACTTTTTTGGAAGACGGCTGGTGGAAATTTGACATTTTTCCCGACAATATGTGTTCGAAAATCGGATGAAAAAATCGAGAAAATCCGACCAGGTCATTTCATCTGTCAAGAAAAAAAACGTGCAGAACAAACGTACCGATTTTCGACCATAACTGAATTCAATCAATCGATTTCGAAGATGCTAAATCACTTCGATAAATTTCTTTTTATCGACGAAGACGAAGGTTGGTTATTTTAGAAGTTACGAATAACGTCGTTTTCATTTAATGCATTTTTTATCATTCGGTTGAGAGAAGACGATACATCTTAACGGCATTTTGCAAAGATTACGCCGTGCAATTATATGAGCTCCTTGTATTGAGAATGACCTAGTTAAAACAATGTGCTTCAACCCGGTCATTTCATGTAACAACGAAAGTGCACAACGAACTTTCCGTTTGTCGACAATATTTGAATTTAAACTATTTCGAATACGTAAAACCACTTTGATGAATTCTTGATAAAAACGAAAGAGCACTGTTTTCTTTAATTGAGAATAACATTTTAATATTTTTATTACCATTTTTGTAAAAAAAACCACGACGAAGAATTGATGCGACGATACCACATTTTTCGAATATGACGCAGTGCAATATCCCACTCATTGCAGAATTTTAAACGAGCTTCAATTTGGTCATTTCACTTAACGAAAAACGATTTCGAAGATGAAAAACGACTTCCGTAACGTGTCGTTTTCGTTATATTCTTTTATAGTGTTGTCGCTCAGTTGACTAGAAGACGATACCGCCTATCTAGAAGACGACGGGTTTTGCGACGACGTGCGCTTGCTGCATTGCGAACGACCTGGTCGAAACTATGTGCTCCAACACATTTATTTTAGTTAACGACGAAAGTGCGGAACGACCGTGCCGCGTGTGAACTTATCAGTCTCTACCCAGATTACATTACATGTACTGTATAGCTAAAGATGGAGACTCGATTCAGCCAGCCGTCTCTCTAAATGAAGATGTTGCTCACTATACATCAATGGAGCCTTACACGGAAGTTCATTTTTGCCCCAGAGAAATGCAAAGTCATGACACGGAGCAAGAAGAAACCATCGGAGCAATCTGATCTCTGCCTAGGTAGTGTGAGACTGGAAGAAGTCGATGAGCCCAACACCTCGTGTGTCAAGTTCTTTACGACTCTAACTTTCAAGCTCACAAACTCCATCGCAGAGAAGGCAGGAACGAGAGCTGGCAGCAGCCGGAAGGTTGCCCCCTCCCTGGGCTCCCAAGGTCGAGCCTCTTGAGTAAGGCTCATATTGGGAGTACCATGGAATAGGCCCCTCTTGCCTGGATGTCTGCCAGTGAATCACAGCTTCAGCAACCTTGATGACATCTAGCAGAGAGCGATAAAGATTATCAACCTGCAAACAGCCTGAACATGAGCTCTTGTGCTCTGCAGTGTCTCACCAGGTTGTCTGTCCATCAATATGACTGGTCCTTCCAGGCAGCCATCACTTCCGAGTAGAACACTTTGCCAGAAAAGAAAGTAGCCATCTTAATCACCATGGAATTTTTAAAAGGTTGACAGACAACACATTTTCGACAGAGGGAGTGAGCACACATGCATGCACCTGTAGATCGACATTTTAACTTCAAGTCTATGCCTTTCGTCTCTTTATTGTATGTAACTGACCATATTCTTAACGTGGCTCGTGGGTGCAAATGTGAACATCACCCAAGTGTGATGTTTATACTAAAAAATGCAATTTGGGGCAAACGGAACAACACAGATTTTTCACCACAACTCTGAAGTGACTGTTCCCCTTCGTGATGCACTGATGGCGTCCTGGTCGTCGATCACTGCAGACATTTCTCCCCCGGTCTCCAACTTCGTGCAGTGGCCGTTTCCTTCAAAATAAAACATAACCAAAATGGAAAACTTTCCTTCGATCGTCCTTTTATAACAAAAATCAATTGATCAAAATTGTTCTGCCATTTCCTTCATTTCTTGTTTTAATACATAACAGACTTGAACAACAGTCTCTCTACATGATACAAATTTCAATTGTCAGACAGCAGTCCCGCCGCTGTCTTTTTCTCTTTATGCTTATTTCAATTGTCGGACAGCAGTCCCGCCGCTGTCTTTCTCTTTATACTTCATAAATAATT